ATTAGTATTTTTTGGTCTCCTATGGGACGACTCTGTCTGGTACCTACTCACGTGGACAACAGTGGGAACTTATAAATTAGTGCTCCTTTACCCAAGCAGATGAGGAAAGGGGGGAAGGTGGGCATCCGTGACCACTGAGCAAGGCATGGAGATCTGATTTGTCTATTCTCTCATGCAATACTGATGGAGGATGTGCCAAGTGTCAAGACCAGAGCTCCTTGCTAGGTATTGCTTTGTAGTATTGTTTCATTGCCTTTTTCAGGAATGATTTTGTATGGACCAACTTGGGGTGTGGGAGGGTTTCATATATTCTTTTAGTTACAAGCCTTCCAGAAATTGAAATAAACCTGCACACAGGCAGGTAGTTAGTATTCAGTATACCCACCTATTAGACACAAGAGCCTTACCATCTCTAAGGGCAGAGTCCAGTAGGACTTTCTGTGATGATGAAAATATTCTTTGGGGCTGGGAAGGTGGCTCAGTGGTAGAGTGCTTGCCTTGCATGCATGAGGCCCTGGGTTCGATTCCTCAGCACCACATAAGCAAAAAGAAAAAAGCTGGAAGTGGTGCTGTGGCTCAAGTGCTAGAGTGCTAGCCTTGAGCTGAAAAGCTGAGGGACAGCGCCCAGGCCCAGAGTTCAGGCCCCACGACCAGACCCCCCCCAAAAAAAAAGAAAGAAAAAGAAAATATTTTCATCTACACTGCCCCATATAGTCTCTACTCGGGGCTGCTGAGCACTGACACTGTGGTCAGTGTGACTTAGGAACCGATTTTAAAATGTTTGTTTTAATTGATTGACATCTAGAGCCATGTATACTAGTGTTCTAGACCAGTGCAGAATTGAGAATCTTGAGCTTAAAAAGCTCCTTAGCTGGATGCAGTTCAACTTTGTGAGGGTTCAGAGGGTCAATACTGTGAGTCTGGGAAGTTCCCCCTCTTCCTCCTTCTAGCCAGTCCCCCCAGAACATGCCCCTGGACTTACCATCTTCTGTGATAATGAAAATATCTGCACAAAACCACTTTGAAGCAGTTTTTATTCTTGAGGTCAGTAATTCAAACCCCATCAGAGGCCTTTATTGTCTGGAGCTGAGCTTTTCTTCATCTGCCTCACATGGTGCCTGGCTAGCCACTGTCAGGCTTCAACCCAGCTTCTCTGACAACGGCCCACACAAGGAGCTCCCCTGGAAGTAGACCAGGGTGACCTCAAAGTGAAATGACCCCTCCAAGCTGCATAAAGACCAAGTCGCAACTTTCCATACAGCAGATGACCGGATCACTCACCTATTAGGTGTGTCAGTAGCTTTGGGATGAATGAATGAGCAAATGACTATTGAAAAAAAGCAAACCAGAATTTCAAATGTTGATTTGTATCACATCAAACTGACTAATAACAATTCCAGAAGTGGTCTGATTAGGACGAGTGCATAAAAAGCAATAATCACGTCTTGATGAGTTCAGAATGCTGTAAACATCTGCTTTATGTTTCTGAAGAATGGAACAGTATTAAGATTCCAAAGGAAAGGATATAAATTTTAAGAGTTTCCATTTTGATTTACATGAGTAGTTTTGTCCTGTAATTAGAATTTTAGTTTGATTTCATTTTAGAAGTTTTAATATATCTTTAGGTAATTTATCTTCAGATAATTTTACAACATCATAGAATTCTGAGATGGGTAGAAAAATTCAAGGGTCTTAATATTGGAAGTTTCCTTAGACATTGTAATTAGGTTTTTAGCTCATAAATAATTCCTCTGAGATTTATTTCCATAGATGTTTAATGAGCTTTATTCAAGTGGGCTCACGTAGAACCAAATGAACGTTTCTTACAAATCAGCATTCATGCATTGGAACTGGAGATAGAATTGTAAACAGTTTTGTCCCCCAGGTAAGAGCTGCTAACACTGAATGAATGGTCGAGGCAGGGCAGCCGTCCCTGAAGAGGGCTTTTGGGTCCCAATGTCTAGACACATTTTTAATTGTCCCCACACACACACTTGGAGAGGGGGTAGAATTGTCATACAGTGGGGGAGGACATTCAATTAGAGCACCCAGCCCAAGATATCAGTAGTGACAGAAAGTAAATTTCAGTCGTAGGCTTTGAAGCATCTTGGAATTGTTACCTGTGGATTTTGCTTTTCTGAATCTGAGGCTGGGTCACACAGCAATTCCTGGGCCTTAATGAGGGCCCCCAACTTTTTTGGTACTGGCTATTGAATTTGGGGCCTCAAGCTTGCTAGGTCAGTGTTCCACCATTTGAGCCACACACTCCCAGTACTTTTGTTTTTAGTTTGCTTTTCCAATAGAGTAGCTTAAGACATCAGTCTTCTACTTCTGCCTCCTGAGCAGTTGGGATTACAGGTTTGCACGACCATACCCAGCTCCTCCAGCCTCCTGAACACAGTCTTTAGAGACTGTGGAAGGAAGCATGTATTCAAGGACATCTCTTTCTCTGGTTAAGACAGGTCTTTATTTTCAGATTTAGTGAAATATGAATTTATCTGTACTTCTTAATAAGTGAATGGCATCCTGAGGGATATAGTCTCTCCATCCAGGAAAATGCTTCCGTTCAGATCGCCATGTAGGAGGAGGCAAGAGGGTTTCAGAGCTCAGGTACCCAACAGGGAAGTGAGGTGGACCAGCAGCTATGCGCATCGGATTTTACCCAGAAGAAATGAAAGCACGTGTCCGTTACAGACTGATAATGCTTGTGTAACTATGAGCACACTAAAAAAAAGACTATTAAGGCACACTTGAAATTGTGCGATGTGTGAATAATATTTCAGAAAGTCTGGAAATTATTTCTAAAGAAAAGCAAAGCCCCACTCTCCTACCACCCCCAACCCGCTCTCCCTCAGTCACTAACCCACTTCAGATCCAACCCTCCTCACGTAAATGCAATCAGTCATAAAGACTGTGGCTTCTTGTACCTGGCTTCTTTTATTTAACATGTTCTCAAGTTCATCCGTGTTTTAGTAGTACATCTCAATTTTTCATTCCTTTTTACTGGCAAATAGGATTCCAGTGTATGAATAGTCTGCATTTTTCTTTTTAATCATTGATGGAAATTAGAGTTGTTTCCAACTTGGGTTGTTGTGAATAATGCTGACATGGTCAATTTATTTATTTATTTTTTGGTTGATCGTGGGGCTTGAACTCTGGGCTTGGGTGCTATCCTTGCATTCTTCAGCTCAAGGCGAGTGTTCTACCACTTGAGCCATAGCACCACTTCCGGTTTTCTAGTGGTTTATTGGAGATAAGAGTCTCACAGACTTTCCTGCCCGGGCTGGCTTTGAACCGCGATCCTCAGATCTCAGCCTCCTGTGTAGCTAGGATGACAGGCGTGAGCCACAGGCGCCCAGCTCCATGATCAATTTTTTGGATGGACTTGGTTGCCAATTCTCTGGGCTCTGTTGGTCACACAGTAACTCTCCATTTCATTTTGAGGAGCTACCAGACTGTTCTCCTCACTGGCCATACTATAATCCCACCAGCAATGGGTTTTAACTGGAGATTGGTTATGCACTCTTTGGAGTGGCCATCCCAAGTCCTTGGCTGGATTCTCCCTTCCCGGTCTTCCGTCAAGGCCTTGTATTCCCAGAACTGATGGGTGGCAGATCTAAGCCCGAAAGTGGAATGGCGTTTAGCACACAAGTTCTCTCCAGTTTCTAGGCTCTCCGTGAATCACATAGATGTTACCCAGAGGCTCTTCCCAGGGATCTCACTGACAGAACTCAGCAGAGGCTTTCTCTTTAATAATAGATTATATTCCTATATCTCCTTTTGATAAACTCATCTTTAAAGATATATCTAAGGCTTTTTTCCCCCTAAGAGTAGAACTTCGTTGGAAAACACATCTGTTTTCTGTTTCACTTATTGTGAGTGTGGGCCCCTCCCCACTGGAGTTTGAACTCACACTTACTAGACAGGTGCTCAACCTGCCACACCTCATCCATTTTTTGGCTTAGTTATTTTTTTGGATAAGATCTCATGGTTTTTCCCAGGCTGGCCTAGACCTTGGTCCTCCTGTTTATACCTCCCAAGAAGCTTGGATGACATGCACACACAACCATACCTAACTTACAAGTTGAGAACGGGGTCTTGCTTTTTATCCACAATGGACTCAAACCAAAATCCTCCCAATCTGTGCCTCCCAAGTAGCTGGGATTATAGGTATGAGCCACTGCTCCAGCCTCATCTACAGGTTTGTACATTAAACACTCAAAAACACACACCTCCTAAACATGCTATTATAGCATGCAATTATGGCATCTCTGCAGGACTTAGCCAGCCTGTCTATACCTGACCACCGTCACACAGAGCCTCTCCGACCTGCTGTGAACCTCTGGCTGTCACACAGTCTGTCTGGGTCCAGGGAAGCACCCTCAGCATAGCTGGCCACTGTGTGTTCTCAATTCCATTCCTGCTCAGCCTCTAATACATCTTGAAGGTGTGCAGTAACAAATTCCATATATGAATTACTCTCCATTCAGATCCTTTACTCCTTTATTTGTTCCAAGATTTCCTGTGCACACCTTTCAAAGTTTCTTCTCAAGGCAGCATAGAGATTCAGTGAAAATGTGACCATTGACTTTTTCTACATCCTTAATATCAGAGCTGAATAGTTTCTTCTAAACCGTACTTTATGGAAGCCATGGTGTTTAGCCATGTGTGGTGGTATATACCTGTAATCCCAGCACTTTATGAGCCCAAGGCAAGAAGAGATGGTTCAAAGTCAACCTGGGATACATAACAAAACCCTTGTCTCAAGTGAGAAATAGAAGAAAAGGAGTTCCCGATGTCCTTTGCCCATTCTCATATGCCAAATATCCATGTAAGATGTTCATAGTCTCCCAGGTACTGGACCAGCTACAGCTTTGGTCCTAGCACCAAGTGGACACACATTGCTCAGTCAAGGGACAGAGGAATCTACTTTGTTTCATAAATGCAATCTGTGTTGCACACAGCACTTACACTGTATGCACACGTGTGTTCTTTTGCAGGCTATCGGCTGCACCTTGAACTGTACTTGCCAGAGCTTCAAACCTGGGAAAATAAACAACCGTCAGTGTGAGCAGTGCAGACATGGATGGGTGGCTCATGGTAATGTCATTTTCCTCTGCTCTTAGCCAGTAGTGCCCTTTTAATAACTTGCAGCTATTCGGGAACTGGTTTAATATTGAAGGATGACAGCTAGCTAGTTCATTTCTTAGGATGTGCCAGGTAGCAGTCTAATAGCGTCAAATGTTTTCTGAATTTGAACTCTTAAGCAGTATCCTAGCCCCATTCTAAAAAATATAGAAACTGGTATTTTGATGCTCTTTATTTTTCAGTGAAGGAAGTCTATGCTAATAAGTAGTCTTTAGGGTTTTCAGATTCAGTGTGTCCCAATAATATTTTTGTAACAATACCCTCTTCCTTGTGAATTTGCAGTTTATAGCTGAGTGCCCTTCTTGCTTGTTTGCCATATCTGATGACCTGACACGAGCTGCTTGGAGCCTCCCAGTACTTGAACTATGGCTGGTGTCACTGAAGAGTGGGATTTATAGTTAAAACTATTTTAATCTAAATTTTAATAGCCATATGTGGCTGGTAGCTGTCACACTGAACAGCTTGGAGTTAGGGTAATTAATTGTCAAGCCCCACAGCTGGATTAGGACTCACCTATAGCTTGCTCAGGTTCCCAAGCTCAAGCTCTACCTCCAGACCCTGCTTCCCAATTGTCCATGCTCTTGAATATGCATGAACATGCACTGTTTCCCCCTTTTCCTGGCCCCTTCCCTATTTGTGATGATTTTGCTCCTTAGAGCTGCACAAGAAAGAAAAATCTTAAGCCAGGTTTATTTTAGAAGTTCCTGTGAATAACTTGAAGACTCAGAGCTGCTGGGGTTATTAGTCGTTTCTGTGTTCGTGTTTTGCTTTTTGTTTTTGATTTTCTTTCTGTTGGAGCAGATCAATGAGAATTTGTCCTAGCCTACTTTCTGGGCAGTATTTCTCCTAAAATTAAAAGCTTTTCCAACCAGTCTTTCTTCAACTTGATTTTTAGCCCTAAGCAAGCTGAGGATCCCCGCCATGTATCCAGCCAGCCGGGTGGAGGTGGTCCAGTCCAGTGTGGTGTTTGATATCAGCAGCCTCATGCTGTACGGCACCCAGGCCATCCCCATTCGCCTGAAGATCCTGCTGGACCGGCTCTTCAGTGTGTTGAAGCAAGATGAGGTTCTCCAGATCCTCCGTGCCTTAGACTGGACGCTGCAGGACTACATCCGCGGCTATGTGCTACAGGTACTGCAACCAGGGCTGGTTTTGCCGGAGGCAGTGCCCACGGAAGGTGCAGCCTGCTGTCCTACCCTGCCAGGGGATGGCTGTCAGTGCCATCCTTCCCTTTAATGCTTTTTCTCGTAGTGTCAACCCCCACCTCTTATTCTGGGAGGAGTTCCTTGCTTTTTCCAGGATCTCCGTCACACCTCAGGCTGTGGGAGCAGGGTCTGTTCTCTGAGTGGGTCCCATACATTAGCTGCTGCTTCTACAGTAAGCCACTCACCCAGCAGGGTGCTGAGTCTACCTGCCCAGGAGGCAGAGGTCCAGGAGATATGATTCCAAACTGCCTAGGCAAAAAGTTAGTGCAATGCCATCTCTGCCAGTAAGAGTTGAGCTTGGTGTCATGTGCCTGTCCTCCTGCTGTTGTAGGAGCAAAAATAAGAAGTTTATAGTCCAGGCTGGACTGAGCCTGGACATTTTTTTCAAAAAAATAACTAAAGCAAAAATAATTGTGGTAGAGTGGTAGAGTACCTACCTAGTAAACATAAGGCCCTGAGTTCAAACCAAGCGTGACCAAAAACAAAAGGAAAAGAAAAGGGATCTTGCTGACTGCTGTCCACTAGTATGTGGTAGATACAGAATTTGAATTTACTTCTGCCTAATTCTAAAGCCCAGGCTCTTTCCTTGGAAACCCGTTTGCTCACGTCTAGCACAGGAACCCCAGCAGTCTAGAAAGAGCTATTTATGTAGACTAGCATTGTGAACTTACATTATGACGTAGATCAATATTTAATGATCCTAATAATCTTGCTTTCTAGTGTTAGGATTAAAAATATGGAATCAATTACCTTGAACCTCTAGTGCATGAAAAATTTATGATGTTATATTCCTCATCATCTTCAAAACTCTTATGTGCACTGTGAAAAATCTCAGTAGGCCATCAAATACATGTTCTATGATAAAATATTTATTGTAGTTTTGGGAAAAGTTAGACCTTGCTAGAGTTTGAAAGATCTCCAACACTCCAGTGTAATTACAGCTCTGCTTTGTGAGCATGGGCAGTAGATCAATACAGGTTCATTTGTTTTCTGATGGTACTTGCTTGGGAAGATGATTAAACTGGCAGCAAATGAATACTTGAGCTATATCTAGGGCTGATTGCTTCATTTGTACTCGTTAGATAAAGAAGTTATTCTTGTTCAAATGATATATATATATTTATTTTAGTAGGGAGAATTACTATACCTAATGCATGACAACAAATATTTTTAAGGAAGGTGAAAAATAATCACCAAATTTCCCTGATTTGGACTTGAGTAATGTAATTTCATTTCTCTCTTCTGGACCAGTTGTAGGGCCCCTGCTTATATTTATGCAGTTTAGGCTCTACACAAAGTTTCTGGCCTACTTCTAGGCCAGAAGGAGGTGAGCATAAACTGGAGTATAAATGTCATGTTCACCCAGAAAAGAACATCTTTTTGATGCGTGAAAAGGTACTCAAGAGTCTAGTAGAAGCCCTGATCAAATGATGACTTCCCTAGAGAAAGGAAGAGTAGTAAATGGGTCATGCACTTTGGATTTAGGATGCGTCTGGGAAGGTGCTGGACCACTGGAGCATCATGACCAGTGAAGAGGAAGTGGCCACCTTGCAGCAGTTCCTTCGCTTTGGTGAGACCAAGTCCATTGTGGAGCTCATGGCAGTCCAAGAGAAAGAAGAGCAGTCTGTCCTCGCACCTCCGTCGACAGCCAACATCGACATCAGGGCTTTCATCGAGAGCTACAGCCACAGGGGTTCGCGCGTCCCCACACCTGTGGACAAAGGGAACCCCAGCAGTGTACATCCTTTTGAGAACCTCATAAACAATGTGACGTTCATGCTGCCTTTCCAGTTATTCAACCCCCTGCCTCCCGCCCTGATAGGGTCATTGCCTGAGCAGTACATGTTGGAGCAGAGTCAGGACCAAAGCCAGGACCCCAAACAGGGAATCCATGCACCCTTCTCTGATAGTAGCTTCTTAACCTCCACACCATTTCAAGTTGAAAAAGAACAGTGTTTAAACTGTCCAGATGCCATTACTCAAAAAGAAGACAATGCCCATCTAAGTGACTCCAGCTCATACAGCATTGCCACTAAGCTTGAAAGGACACGGTTATCCCCCGAGGCCAATGCGAAGGCAGAGAGGAGCAGCCTGAGCACGAAGAAAGGCCGGGTGTTCTGCACCGCATGTGAGAAGACTTTCTATGACAAAGGCACCCTCAAAATCCACTACAATGCCGTCCACCTGAAGATCAAGCACAAGTGCACCATTGAAGGGTGCAACATGGTGTTCAGCTCCCTGAGGAGCCGGAACCGCCACAGCGCCAACCCCAATCCTCGGCTGCACATGCCAATGAACAGAAATAACCGGGACAAGGATCTCAGGAACAGCCTGCACCTGGCAGGCTCCGAGAACTACCAACGCCCAGGCTTCCCGGGGATTGCTCCAGACTGTGGACCTCTCCCCAGCTACCCTGGTTCTGGGGAGGATTCCAAAGGCCAGTTGGCCTTCTCTAGTATCGGGCAAAATGGAGTGCTCTTCCCTAACCTAAAAACAGTCCAGCCAGTCCTTCCTTTTTACCTCAGCCCGGCCACTCCCGCTGAGCTGGCAAATACCCCTGGAGTGCTGCCTTCTCTCCCTCTCTTGTCCTCCTCAATCCCAGAACAGCTGGCTTCCAGTGAGATGCCCCTGGATACGCTTCCCAAGAAGAAATCCCGGAAGTCCAGTATGCCAATCAAAATAGAGAAGGAAGTGGTAGAAGTGGGTCAGGAGAAGAGACCCCTGAGCTCTGATGAAGACGCGCCCCTGCAGGGGGTCAGCGAAGATGAGCCTGAAGCCTGCAGTCCTCAGTCAGACAGAGCACCTGAGGAGCAGCACACCCAGTCAGGAGGCTTAGGGAAGTCTCTCTCTCGGGGGGAGAGGCCTTGCAGTCTCGGATCTGTGACTGAGGCCCATGGAACCGTCAGCCAGATCTCTGAGCAGGCCACACACAACTCAGAGAGGGAGGCTGAGCAGCAACTAACGTTGACCATGGTGCCGAGGGAGGTAGAGGACGGCAGCCAAGAATACCACTTCACACCTGGAGTGGAATCCCATGTTCCTTTTCCTGACTACATGGAGCTTCAGCAACACCTGCTGACCGGGGGACTCCTCAGTGCCTTGTCCCACAGGGCCATGGCTTTTCCTTGTCTCGGAAATTCCAAAGAACTGGAGCCCCCAAGCCAGCATGTGCCCACAAGGCAGAAGGAAGAACCTCGCACTCAGTGTGACATCTGCAGGAAAACCTTTAAGAACGCTTGCAGCTTGAAAGTGCATCTCAAGAACATGCATGCCAGAGACACGCACACGTGCACCGTGGAGGGCTGCCGTGCCACTTTCCCGTCCCGCAGGAGCAGAGACAGGTAAGCAACACTGGCAATCATTCTTGTAAAGACACAGGTTCCTAGCCCGAATCACAGCTGAGTCACCTGGAAGGCTGTGAAAACACAGACTTCTGGGCCCTGGACCTGTACTTCTGTCCCAGTAGGTAGCAGAAAGGGGACAGAGATGTCTGGGCTTTAACCCTAAACTTCTGTGCTAGTAGATGGGGGAACTACAGGACCCTAACTGTAGACTTCCGTTCCAGTAGATCAGTGGATGGGAAGTGGGGGGGGGGGAGTATTTTGCACTTCTGTCAAATTCCCAAATGTTGACATTGTTCTGAAGAAATTTTCAATTTCAAAATCTAAAGCCAGCTGCCAGTGGTTCACATCTGTAACCCTCCCAACTCAGGAAGCTGAGATCTGAGGATCATGGTTCAGAGCCAGCCCAGGCAGGGAAGTCTGTGAGACTCTCATCCCCAATTAACCACCAAATAGCCAGAAAGTAGAACTGCATGCTCAAATGGTAGAACACGGGCTGGGAAGGCGGCTCAGTGGTAGAGCGCTTGCCTTGCATGCCTGAGGCCCTGGGTTCGATTCCTCAGCACCACATAAGCAAAAAAAAAAAGCCGGAAGTGGCACTATGGCTCAAGTGGTAGAGCGCTAGCCTTGAGCTGAAGAGCTGAGGGACAGCGCCCAGGCCCAGAGTTCAGGCCCCACGACCGGACCCAAAAAACAAAAAAATCAAATGGTAGAACACCAGCCTAGAATGAAAAACTAAGGGACTACGCCCAGGCCGAGTCCCAGCCCTAATACCAGCACCAAAAAAATTGGCTGCAAGACCTTCCCTCCTCAAATGGTGTGAAGATACTTGAAATTTTCGCAGTCTACCTTTGTGTGGGCTTTATGTGTATTTGGTATAGAGATATTGAAGACATTCCCATTGATGCCTTTCTGAAGTCTGAGAAATGTCAAATTCAGAAACACCTCAGGCTCTCAGGGTGTGTAAAGAATCGTGCGTGAGGTCTCACATTAGCAACTTGGGTAAAAGAGCTTGGTAAAGATGTAGGGGGTTGGGAGATTTTAAGTTGTCACTTTGGTTTCCCCAAACTTTTCTCATTTTTCTCTCACAATACAAAATCCATCAAATGAGACCTTTTCTCTGATTTCTAGTCAACCAGCTACATTTGCAAAGAAGAGTAACAATTGAGATTTTCTTCAATATGAAGGTACCAGAGGGTAGAGATGATTGTCAGGTTGTTCGAGCAGCTGTGATGCTGGGTTTTTGTGACACATGCAGACTTTACAGAGCGCACACTTGTGGGACACGCCAAACACACGCAGACTGTTTACAGAGAGCACACTTGTGGACACACGTCACCCTTGGGCGCACAGCAGCGTGTTGGTATCTTGCTTGTGCTCTGCTTCCCACACTTGGAGCTCTAACTACTGTTTAGGTCACCCTGCTCCTGGGCCAGAACTGGCATACCAGAAGATGGCCCAGGAGGCCTATTAAATGCAAGATGATAAATGCTAAATGCTCACAGAGTGTTCATATGCAACATTTGCTCAAACAAGTTTGACTTGAAGCAATTCAACACCACCACTAGCTTAGTCCAAATTGTACTGCCTAATTTGTTAAGAGGGTGAAAATGTACAGACTCCCACACACATTCCTGGATAGGCTCATAAGAACACACTCATTGTCTTGAGTCCAGGGGGTAGAACACAGGAGATACTACTTAAAATTCCTGTTTCTGTTGCTGAGATGTTAAGCAAACCACTAGTGTGCCCTCATTAGTGAGCCAGGAGTGTTTGCTCATGAGTAAGCTGTAGTCGTGAACAGGTGGTCAGATCATGTAGATTATCCTTCCTTTATAAGCCTGTTTTAAATTACATTGCATACTGGATACTTTCTCATTTGATACTTATGTTTCCATATATTCAATGTTTTCTCATGTTCTGGCCCATTAGAGATGTGATCCTTCTACTGTAACAGGAAGGCAACTTGTATTACAAATTTAGGAATTCCAGCAGTATAAAACTTGGAGTGTGTTTTACCAAGAATCCCGATTAAGGGGACATCATTTTTTAATTTTATTTTTTGTTGGTTGTCGGGCTTGAACTCTGGGCCTGTATGCTTTCCCTGCGCTCTTCAGCTCAAGGCAAGTGCTCTACCCTTGAGCCACAGCGCCACTTCCTGTTTTCTAATGGTTTATTGGAGATAAGAGTCTCACAGCCTTTCCTGCCTGGGCTAGCTTTGAACCACACTCCTCAGTCTCCTGAGTAGCTAGGATTACAGGTGTGAGCCTCTGGCGCCCAGCTCAAGGGACATCATTTAAGCAGGGGGCATCCTCATGGAATACTTATGGACAAACCCAGACCCTGCCACTCTTCTTAGACACATAACTCCCACTGCTCCAAGACCCTATGGCTATTAGGACAACTGTCACCTCCTCTCCACCATTACTTTCAACAGCAGCTCCTGGGGCCTGTCAGGAAGGATGGGACAGCATGTCTGGTGCTTATTTAGCCAACAAACATGCATTAAGGATCTTCTCTGATCGTTGCTGGGCTGCAGTTCCTGCCCACAGAAGTCGTCAGTGTGTAGTAGATGAGGCAGATGAGTTAATCTTATAGATGAATATCATTGTGACAGTAGGAGAAGTTACAGGCTGCTCTGTGCACAGGGGGTGGCGTTAACTAGACCCCTTGAGAGGATAAAGGTTTCCTGGAAGAAGGGTAGCTCTAAACCAGCAACGTTCAGGTGTTTGGGTCTCACAACGCCTTTTAACTAGGGACCCTTTTCTGGCCAGTGTGTGGCACAGCCTGTAATCCTGGCTGCTTGGGAGGCAGAGATCAGAGAATTGCAGTTCCATGTCAGCCCGGGCCAAAAGGTCATGAGACTTCACCCCAGTGAATGTCCGGACATGGTGGTGTGTGCTGGTCAGCCCACCTGCTGGGGAAGCGCAACAGGCGTGGCGGAGCGCACCTACCCCGGCTGTGTGGGGAACGCAGACAGGAGGACTGCAGTCCAGACTCTAGTGTGAACAGGGCTGGGGCCGTAGCTCAAGCGGGGGAGCGCCTGCCTAGCAAGCCTGGAGATCTGAGTTCAACCCCAGTGCTTCCAAAACACAGAACAAACAAAACCTGCAGTGTTTAAGCGATTGTTACCAGTATTTGTCATACTAGACACTGAAAGTCATCATAATCACTTCAGAATAAGAATGTAAATATCGCAGTTAGTATACCATTTTGGGGGGGAACCAAAAACTTAGTTTGTTTTATAGATTGATAGATCTCTTTAATACCCGGTTGCATTAGAAGGTTGACTTCGTCATGCAGCCTGTTACGTTATTACATGTCTGTAACACCTAGAACACTCCACCGTACACTCTTGAGAGAATGAGAATGAAAAGGCCAAGGCTGTGCTGATGTTCTGCCTCCTGAGTTCTAGAGCCTCCAGTGGGTGTGGGCGGCACCCTGGGCTCTCACAGACTACAGTTTGAGAACAAATGGTCTCCTCCCCGGAAGAGTGGGAAGGGATGTTAGAGACTGACAGGAGGATAAGGATGTGGTACAGATTTGCAGTCCTGGAAGAAGGTCCAGTGCGTAGTTTCTGAAGGTGTCCTGGGGACACAGCACGTCAGAAATGCATCTATGGGCTGGGAAGGTAGCTTAGTGGTAGAGTGCTCACCTAGCATGCATGAAGCCCTGGGTTCCATTCTTCAGTACCACATACACAGAAAAAGCCAGAAGTGGTGCTATGGCTCAAGTGGTAGAGTGCTAGCCTTGAAGAAAAGAAGCTCAGGGACAATGCTCAGGCCCTGAGTTCAAGCCCCAGGACTGGCAAAAAAAAAAAAAAAAAAAAAGCATCTATCCCCTCGGATCGGAGGCGTCAGAAGCAGGAGAGGAACACACAAGTTAGCAGCTGGCATTTGTGAGATATTCGGGCGCTGGGCATGAGGCCCAGTGACTTGCTTGTTAGAGTAAGGATCTTTCTGTCCCTGGTCCAGTAAATGCTTGGCTTCTTTAGCGACTTGCGTATGAGAACCAATATGTCATTCTGATGTCTGGATTTCTGCCAACACATACCTGCTCCCCAAGCCGGAACACTGACCTAATCACAGGCAGAGCTGAGGTTAGAGGAACCGTTTGCAAAGTGGCTGATCTGGAAGAATAATTCTGATGATGTCCAGAGAAGTGGGGCAGGGTGATAAACTGCATAGTATACATTGTTTATAAAATATGATAAAGCCTCCCACATACATGTCTTGTGAAATTTGGAAGTGAAAATGGAAATCTTAATAATTTTAGTGAGGATATTTTTTCCAACTTGACCCTGATCTGTATTTGGGGGAGGGGAGGAGCATTTTCCCTGTTGTGGATCATTCTCCTGTCCTCTTTTAAGATTCTACCTTTTGTCCAGGCTTGGTGGTACCCACTTGTAACTCTAGCTGTGTGGGAGCCATAGGTAAGAGTATCATGGTCATAGGCCAGGCCAGGCAAAACAGCAGGGGACCTTACCTGAAGAATAACGAACAGCACCTGCTCACCGAGCAGGAGGCCCTGAGTTCAAACCCAAGAAACTTACACCCTTTGGTCAGGGCAGGCTTTCCTCACTAGAAGTTAGAAAGGGATTCCTGAGCGAGGGCAAAATTGATTTACAAGTTACGTCTAAATGATACATATGACTAAAAGATGTGTTGTAATGGATGTTCATTATCTCCCCCGAGAGTAATCACGGGCTGCAAGATGGGTGGTGTGCTCACACTGCTGCGTTTGCAAAACTTCTGTCTGGTATACAGAGAAGTACATAGACACACAAACAGACACATGCCCACGTACATGTGCATTCACACACAGGTATGCACATACATATCCAACGTTTATCCAGACACATGCCCACGTACATGTGCATTCACACACAGGTATGCACATACATATCCAACGCTTATCCAGACACATGCCCACGTACATGTGCATTCACACACAGGTATGCACATACATATCCAACGCTTATCCAAACACACACATGCACACTCACTCCCACCTGTAGGACTTGTGGGACTCAGTGTGTACAAAGGCTCCAGACCAGCACCATCCACAAGAAAGAAGATGTGACCAGTACAGAAAATTCTTAACATTTTAATAGCCCCATTAAAAGGCACAAAGAAACAAAGTAAGTTTTAATAACACCTACTTCAACGTTATTATTTAGTATATGGCTTTTGCCACACTTCCGGCACTCAATAACTGTATTAGGCCCTGCAAGTGAGGAGGTTTCATTGAAATTAAGTCTGCTGCTTAGTTCCTAATAGCTGGTGCTGAGACCTCCTAGGATCACCTGCTTCCAGTTAAACTGGCCTAATTGAAATAGGCTAGCTGTCCTTTTATAGGAGAGTTCCCGGAAGTGAGCATTTCTGTCAGATGATGAAAACGGAAGCCTCCGGGCTATTGGCTTTGCCGGTGAGAGCTGCGAGCAGCCAGGGGTCAGGGTCCATCCCGCAGGGGCTGAAGCCTGGGTCACTCCCAACCGTGCTTTGCCTTCTCTATTCAGAATGATGACTCTAAAACTGCAGCCCAACTCGTTGCTAACCGTCTTCTCACTCTTGTAGACACAGTTCAAACCTAAACCTCCACCAAAAAGTGTTGAGCCCAGAGACATTGGAGAGCAGTGGAGACCACTTCCGTGCCGCCTACCTTCTGAAAGACGTGGCCAAGGAGGCCTACCAGGACGCGGCTCTCACCCAGCGGGCCTCCCAGACATCGGTCATCTTCCAGGGGTCCAGTCGCATAGACCGCCTGGCTTACCCAGTCAGCCAGGTGCACAGTGCCAGCCTGGAGAGCTACCCCTCCCTCCACCCCAGTGAGGGCACCATCCTGGATCTGAGCACGGCCTCCGGCACCAAGTCGGAGAGCAGCAGCCCCTCCTCGTGGGACTCAGACGGGCTGAGCGAGGAAGGCCCTCTGCTTACGGAGGGCAGCGAGGGGACCTGTGAAGGGCCCAGCCTCGTGCCCGGGACGGAGGGGTACCCGATCTGCGTGCTGATGGAGAAAGCTGACCAGAGCCTTGCCAGTCAGCCCTCCGGGCTGTCCATGACCTGTCACCTCTGCCAAAAGACATACAGCAACAAAGGGACCTTCAGGGCCCACTACAAAACCGTGCACCTCCGCCAGCTCCACAAGTGCAAAGTGCCGGGCTGCAACACCATGTTCTCTTCCGTTCGCAGTCGGAACAGACACAGCCAGAACCCCAACCTCCACAAGAGCCTGGCCTCGTCGCCCAGTCACCTCCAGTAACAAAGTGGCAGATCCAAAGCTCCTATATGCAGGCATGAGATAGTCCAAAGAGGCTCGGACCATTTCAGATCAAGCCCGGCATAAAGATTTGGTCTGAGCACGTTTCCTACAGCAGGATGAGTGGAGGACAAGCCTTGCGGGAAGGTGGCCGGGAGGTAGTCCTTCCATTACTGTTCTTAGCTCGAGTGTTTCTCCGACATTCAGAAAACAGAAAGCCATGTCCCCCAGATTTGTTGACATGTTTCCTGAGAGAGCTCACACCAGGTCTACAGATTGACAGGGGGCACCCAGGACCTGGGGCACCTTCCAGAAAGGCTTCAGTAGTGTTAAGGGTCCTTACAGGAGACGTGTCCTGGGAAAGTGTCACCGTGGGTAAAACACAAAAGGTCCCTTGTTTCATGACCTAAAATGCAGGCCTGAGTTTAGGAAAACAACCTCCAGGGACCATCTCCATCTGGAGTGGAAGATTGCTCCCCCCTCCCCACAACGCTCCGAACTCCAGAGATTCTCCCAGGAGGCAGGCCGGCCTCTGACCCAGTGCTTGATCCTGGGTCTGTAGCAGGCATTTAAGAAGTAGGGGACATCTTTCCTGCACATAAAAGTGGTGGTCCGCAATTTAGTTTAAACCAATTTTGATCATACTTGTGTTTGTTATGGAAGTAATGGCAAGATTGTGGCCATGTCATGTGTCACCTCAATTTCTGTTGAAAAGCAGAACAAGTGACAACTCTTACTTCAGAGCCACTGTCCACTGTCACTAGGCAAGCTTTTGAGTCTGTCCGTCTTGAGGCTGTGGATTGAACTCGAGCATGATTCTGGCAGGACCAGTGTTCGCTTTCTACCAAAGCATTTAGAGAATGTGCTTCTGGCGGAGGTTGGGTCCCTGTCTTCGCCCTTTCAAAAATGTATACGGTTAGGAGGAGTTTGAAACTTATCTGGTAGAAAGAAAAGGAGGACATTATTGTCATACTATATGTCTTAATATTTAACTTATTCTGAAATGTGTTCCACTCTGTTATACATGTTTGCCACTGTAGAAAGGAAGGCTCGTCTGCCGGTGGCGTGGGACCCTCTCCTGCATTGTTACTCACATTATTCTAAAAGAAATTGATTTTGTACTCAGAATTCAAGTTAACTTGTCTTTTAAACTCTGGTTGACTTAATTTAAAAAATCCTTAAAGACAAAGGTGAGCAGTATTACTCTGGTGGAAAAGACCAACAACTGTTACCAAGCCTTTATTTTAATAAATGTGACCACTTAAAGCGTATCTCTGCTTAAAGCAAGATGTATGTTTCAACTGTTTTGTTATCCAGATGTTTAATATTCAAGTTCCCCTCAAATGGAAAAATTTGTATACAGATGTTTTCTATGATTTAATAAAAATGTATGGCACATCTTTTGTTTAAAAAGGCAAATGTAAGAATGAGTTTTGTTGTATGTGTTGTCCTTTTGAGTCTTTGTACATGCATGCATATGTGCACACACACACACACTAAGTCTTTTTTATCGTTCCATAGCTTTATTATTTCTGATATGATGCTAGGATTTTATAGTATTTTGTAAACATTAAGAGGACGTTAAATGAACTACTGGGATTATGACAATTTCTGAGAAAATAAAGTCCCTGACACAGACAGAAGTCATAAAGGTGCGGTCATGCCCAGGTTTCTTTGCAGGATGTTATAGGACCAGTTGACACACTGTAAGTTTAGTGCAGCTGAAAGCCACAGGCAGTCTGGTGAACAGGGAATAGTGTTGGTAACTACTGCCACACTCAAGCGGATTGCGGCCACCAGTGAGGTCAGAAAGATAGGAGGTGCTGCTTTGTTGAGGAGGGCAAACTGCGGATTGATTCTGTGCACATAACTTGATCGTTCTTATAAATACAGTGCTGTCAAAAGATGCGTCATTCAGCCAATGCTGAGAATACACAGAGCTTTAAACTTGCGTTTCTATAACTTTTTAAAGTAAGTTTTAAATATACAGATATTTTGACTTACATTTTTATAATTTTTCTATTTAAGTTTTTCTGCCGTCCTGGATCCAGGAGGGTCCTGGTTACACAGGTTATTCCCTGGAGATGAGGCCCAGGAAAACACCTGTCATTCACATGGTGGCGCTAAGGACTGTGTCACTTCGCTGGTCCTTGCTAATTTCTGACAAGCAGTGGAGGCCCATGGGCCACTGTCCACTGTGGAGAGGAAAAACCAGATCCTGTGGGCCCATCAAGCCCCTGCCCTCCCCTCTCCTCCCCTCCCCTCCTTTCCCCTCTTTTCCCCTCCCCTCCTCTTTCCTTTTTTGCCTTGAGTGAAGGAGGGAGGGAGGGAAGGTTGGGTGGAAGCATCACGATCCTTGCTCAGTCTGGGAGGGGTCAGCAAGGCCCCAGAATCCATGGCTCAAGGTCAGCCCTCACAGGAAAGGGCAGCAGCTCTGTGCAAACAAATCTGGGAGTTCCCCTCTGAAACCCCTGTGTCCTCTTCCAGTGAGTCTGGACCTAGACTCTGAATCAAGGTTCCGACTCTGTGAAGCCAGTTGTGCCCGCCCTTGCCCTCTAGGAGTGTCTCTCTTGCTTCTGTCTCCTCCTCAGTATCAAACGTATCCTCCTCTCCACCCCCAGCTTTTCAGTCCACACTTTCCAGTCTCATCCTGGTGATTAAAAATAAGCAAAAAGAAAAGCCGGAAGTGGCGCTGTGGCTCAAGTGGTAGAGCCTTGAGCTGAAGAGCTGAGGGACAGCGTTCAGGCCCCACTACCGGACCCAAAAAAACAACAACAACGAAAAAAAACGAGATGTTGTGCATGGTGGCCCACACCTGTAATCCCAGATTCTTGGGAGATGGAAATCTGAAGGATCTCCAGGACAGGCCCGGGCAGAGGCGAGATTAGTGACTTAACAGAAAAGTTAGGTGTGGCGGTATGCATCTGTCATCCCGTATGATCTGAAACAGGTCCAGGAAAAAACATGAGACACTACCTAAAAATAACTAAAGCAAAGAGCGGGGCTGGGAGTGCGGTTCAAGTGGTAAAGCACCTGCCTCACACGCATAAGGCTCTCGAGCTCACAAACCCCAGCACTTTAAAAAAGGAGTGAGGACGGTGGGAGAGGGAGGAAGCCCCAGGCTCCCCTTCGGTGTTGTCTCCCCTCCACCAGCAAGTCCTCTGCGCTCATGGCTCACCTCTCACCCCGATGAGGGCTCCATGCTCCAGTGGGGCCCTGTGTCCACTCCCCTCCCTTCCTCCCACGGCGCACTCATCTCCATGTCTGGCCCTCCAGACAGTAAATAAACACCCTTCGCTGTCGGAACAGCCCATCTCCAGTCCAACTCAACTCTCGCCGCCTCTCCTCTCAGCTGCTTCTGTCGAGCCTCCTCAGGCTGAAGGAGAAGTGCCATCCCCATCCCAGATGCACAGCGTGGGCACCGCCTCAGGCCTCCTGGGCACCCCCCTTCCCTGCACCCACACACACAACAGTGGCCGTCTCCTCATGATCCTCCACATCTCTACCTCCTGAGGGGCTGGGATTACAGGCAGGAACCACCATGCCCAGCTCAGACTTTAACTGAGAGAAAACTATGTTGGAGGAACTGCCAGACTGTTGTCTAAGATGGCTGATTTATTTTTTTGGTCAGTCATGGCACTTGAAGTGAGGGCCCGGCACTGTCCCTGGGATCTTTATGTCAAGGCTGGCGCTCTGCCACTTTGAGCCAGGCTACTACTTCCAGTTTTCTGGTGGTTAATTAGAGATAAGAGTCTCATGGACTTTCCTGCCCTGGCTGACTTTGAACCACAATCCCCAGATCTCAACCTCCTAAATAGCTAGGATTACAAGAATGAGCACTGGTGCCTGACCAAAATGGCTGATTCTTAAACATAGCCACCCATTGGAATTCCCTTGGCGGCTTTCTATTTATTTATCTTGGTGGTATTGGGGTTTGAACTACATTAATTTGCTAGATGTTTTTATCAACTGAGCCAGGCCTTTCAACCTTTTTTACTTTAGTTATGAAATAGGTCTCAGGATTCTGCCCCATCTGGTCTGAATCCTGATTCTCCTGTTTACCCTTCCCACATGTGTATGCGAACATGCCCAGTTTTTTATCGGTTAAAATGGGGTCCCAAGTCCCTTTTCTCTAGGTGGACCTTGAGCCCTGATGCGCCTGATTTCTGGCCCTTGTGTGCTAGGGTTATTGATGGAGCCATGTGGCTGGCTTGGAAGCCTCATCTTAGGTGAATCTCAAACGTGTGGTCCAGAAGCAGCATAGCAAATCACCTGGAACTTGAAATGCAATCAGATCAGAATCTACATTTTAAAAATTCTGCAGTTAGTGTGCACAGATTATCTCAGAAGCACAACACCAGACTGCATCGTGTCTCTAGACAGGTGTCTCAGGCTGGAGCACGTGTTGCATTGCCCGGAAGACACAGGGACACACAGGTTGCTCCTGGAGCTCTGACTTGGTGGGTCCGTGGTGGGCCCAAGCGTCTGTGTGGGTAATGAGCCCTCAGGGGATGCTGACGCAGTAGATCTGGGGACCACACTTCGAGAATTGCTTAGTCCTATGTCTAGACCGTAGTTTCTGAAATTCAGCCCTATTGATATTTTGGATCAGCTCCTCCTGCCTTGTCTGGGGCTGTCCTGTGCACCCAGGGAGGAGTCCCGCGGTGCAGCTTATGCCTCGTTCCCAGCCTGGACATCTCTGCCCCTCCTCTCCCCCCCTTAGATCATGGGACAACTACAGATGAGCTTGAGATCCACGGCCATGCCTGGGAAAGCTCCTGTCAATGATGGGCTGAAGAAAAGCATGTGACTGACTGTCGGGATGCCGTCCGTGTGTCCTGGCTCCTCACCCACAGCCTTCTTCTGAGAGGTAGGCTTTGCTTACTCATTAAAACTAAATCTGCTCAAGAAACTTGAAGCGGCTGTAGAGAAATTTGATGGAGGAAGAGCTGCCTATGGTCACCTGATGCTTTCAAAACTGCACTCTAGATATTAGTACAATT